GGTTCAAACTTGTTGTTGACTCACCGCTTCACAGTACTTGACCTTTACAGCCGAATATTTCACCGGCAATCGAATGCCCATAGAGTAGCATATTAACGATTAATGTCTCAGTTATTATTATTATTCAAGAGGTCGAGAATTACAAGATAGCCATAGATGGAGTTGATGTTGATGAATGGGCCAAGTCTGTACCGGATGATGGGTCTGTAGATGAACAAACTGGTTCATTTGATAGAGTAGGCATCTCTAAGAGTAATAAAACAGTCACTACTCTGAAGGATTCTCCTGCCTTAGATGATGCTATTGGTTTCTTTGAAACCCATCACTGTGTCATGCCAACAAATGGTCTGTACAAACTACATCCTGGACAAGCTTCTGATCTTGATTGGTTGGAATGTAACATGGCTGGTCTATTTGATTTAGATCCTGCTCATGTGCTACAACTTAGACCACCAGATTTTGAAGCTTACAAGTCAGGCATGCAACCATCTGTTCATTTGTTCCTGAAGCGCCTATCAACTTTGTCATTGAGTCTACTCCAATGCGAGACAAACCTATAGACTTGACTCACAAGTTGTCATCCTCTGAACCTTGACGTAGCCCACGCCTCAAGACACGTTCTGAGGATGGAAGGTGGAACTCAAAGGACAAATCTGCAGGACCAGGCCCACCGTCTCATGATCCAAATGCTCATGATTCTGTCTTGACAGTGAATCCAGTGTATAAGAACTTGAACTCAGCAATGAAATCGCGTGAAGGCAACTGGGAATGCCTGCGCATGGACTTCAAGTGGTTGTCCAAGCTAGATATCCAGAGATTATTTCCTTGGACTATTGTTTATCTAGCTAGATCTCCTGTGGAGACCAACCATGAACACAAATATCATCTCTTGCCGTCACCCCTAGAGTCTATTTGTCACATGTTAGGCACAGTAGACATTGCCAAGCATCCTGGTTGCCACATGACCTACCAATTTCTGTTTCTAGAAACGAACAACTTCTTGTTTCCTTCAGAAATCTGCTCTGCTAGATCACCTATCACACTACACAAACGTCTGATCTACCTGATGGGGAGGAACTCACGCTCCCTACAATAATCAACTCAATTGATCTATCTGATGGGGGGGAGTTGACAACCCCTACAAAAGTCAAATCTAGAGACAATAGGACCATTATTACTGTTGCTTATTCTAGTGACGATGAATCAGGTATAGAAGACGTTCTGCTAGGAAATTGTGACCACATTGGGCAAACTTTCTTCTCTCACAAGATGAAGGTTATGTTTGACGTGCAAGGATTGTTGAGCTTAACTACAAGCACAATCGTAACAGGGACATTCAGCCTGCACGTATTCAACTATGCCTGAACATTGATAAAGGTGAATATGAGCGTGTCATGGCTTACCATGACATCCACAAGTGGTCAGAAATTGACGCAGACACCCCCATTGTTTGGAAGCTCAAGCGAGTTGTATGCCGCCATCACTACATTTGACTTGAACACCCTTCTTACCTGGGTCTGACCTATTGTATGGCCATTGGATGGAAACATGGGGAGAATACCCCAGAACCACTGAGCATCACTGGAGCCGATGATTCAGTCACCTACACTATACATGCCAGAAATCACAACCTGTTGGAAAGTCAAGGTTGTAAACTTCTTGGAAATATAGTCAAGGACAAGAAGAAACTTCTTTGTCCAACCAATCAAGTCAAGCCGAGATTGCTACACACTACTTCACCAAAGTATATGTATTACTACGAGATCCAGAAGGAGCACAATGATGTCCTTCAACTTGACAAACTCCATGGCAACACCAACTGAAATCTAGCCTCTATTACCAACGCTAATGTTCTGGTCTGGAGATATAGGTCCTCACTTCGCCCCATTTGGGGAGTGACAGAATTCAAACAGAAACAGGACTTGTGACTTGACCTATAGGATTCCTAGGTTGAGGTATAGCCTGTGCACCGCACGCATCACACGTGCGCGAACAGCTACATGCCATTAATTTAGCGTGAAAAGAACTGAGTTGAGTCAGCAGTTCTCTAACAAATCATAGGATTCGCGTGGAAAAGTGATGGATCATCGCTTTTCTCACTGCATGCTTTTTACTTGAATTGATATCGATCAACTTATAGAAACCAGTCAACTATAGGCTTATAGTCTATATTCATTTAATTCTGTCAAAGGAACAAAAAATAGGTTATGTCAGTAACTCATAGAGTGTCTAGATGAACGTGATGAATGATGTGATGTATGAGGATATACGGACAGGCGATCTAGTAAAGTCGTAAGACGACTAACTCGATCCTGACCTCCTCTTCGTCTGTAGCTTATGGACCAAGACATCACCCGATCTACCTCCTCTCAAGCATGGCACTATGCCAATACTAAAGAATACAGGCACGTATTTACAACTAGTCTAAAGCTAAGTAGCTAAGAGAAACGTGGTTGATGTACCTATCATTTATTGAGGTGGTTGCGCGTGAACAAGCTGGCTAAAGCATAGTTCTACTGAGAATGGCATTCAATTTGACGCCTCCCAACGCTTTAGTACAAATGTCTGCCCAATTTTCACTGGTATCACACCAAATGGGTTTGACAATTTGTGCAGCAACGACCTCACGGACACAGTGGTAGGAAATCACAACATGTTTCTTCTTGAGATCCGCTTCAGGAATGCTAGCAGTTTGGATCACTCCGAGGTTGTATCCAATTAGATTGGTAGGTTCCTCAACAGGAACGCCCAGTGACCGTAACATGTACCTGAGGGACATGGCCTCCTCTACTGCAGCGCGCATTGCGATAAACTCCGAGCAATATGTGCTTGAAGCAATACAGCCCTGACGTTTAGAAGTCCATGAAACGAGAGTACTTCCGACATACACGAGCAGACCAGTGATAGAGCGACGAGTCTGCAAATCGTGGGCCAAATTGGCGTCAAAAAACACACTTGTTTGTACCGGTTTCCTGTAAGCTTTTGCTTCCTTGGGGTCACAATCTTCTTTGGCATCCGGATATTCCTTCAAGAAATCTGGGATAAAATCACCTTTCTTGTCAAGTAGAGTAGGATGGATTTCAAGGGGATCGGAGCAGACAGGAAGTTGCTTGCTGGGAAAACGCTTCAGGTATCCAAAAAGATAAAAAGCTAATTCCAGGTGTCCTTGGCGAGGAGCAGCAGAAAAACGACTTAACGAGGCAACTGCATAAGCAATGTCCATACGTCCGATCGTGACGGCCCACTGGGCCATGCCCACCAACATCTGATATTGGTGTTTTCCGGCATCGTCAAGGAAATCTGAAGTATCCGTTTCAGGATGAGAAGCTGGTCCTTCAGATGGTGCAGGAGTGTAATGAACACAGAGCTAGGATCCGTTAGGTAGTAACGCTTGGATCCGGCGAATGCATTCTTCCACATAGGTCTTGGAACCTGTCAACCAAACCTTATTTGCATCATTGAAGTAATAATCCATACCAAGGTAGTAGTCTGGCGCACCGGAGCATTTCAATTGAAAGGCACCAGCAATAGCATTGACCCACCGTTGAGGATCCTTGGCTACAACTTTGAAGTCGTCGATATGAGTGCAAAGATAATCGTACCCAGATTCGTCTTCACGGAGTCTCATCCAGACGTCACGGTCGTACCGAGTAGGTTCAAAACCAATTGTACGCATAAACGCAGCAAAATTTTCCCTGTAGGCCCTTGAGCTAGACCTTAAGCCGTAGAGGGCCTTGTTGATAGTAACAACAGCGCCTTCACGCTCTCCAAACTCGGGGCCAGCAGTAGAATGTATCTCCTCTAGACATTTGGCAGTAATGAAAGCATTGCCAACATCTCCATGGAGAATAGTCAAATCATCACGGTGGGCCACCATGTCTAGCAATCTGACACTGACACCCTTCAGAACAGTAGACTTAGTCAAGATCCCTCGGGGGTCCACGAGGTGACCTCCGCAAACCGATCTTTCTTTGCGTCGTCCATCTTGCTTGGCTTCAAAAATCATTCGCAAAGGAGCAAACTGAGAGTTTGGGCCAGGCTTGTAATCAGACGGGTGGAAGGTAAAGCAATTCATTGCAATGAGAGAGGCTGTTGGGATATGACGAAATATGAGTTTTTACGTTCCAAAAGAAACTATTCAAGTACGAGGTTTTTGACACGTGCGATCGGACTTTGATCGTGATGTCAGGATTTGACGCAAGTCTGCCGGACGCAAGTCTGTCGGACAATCTGTATCCACACAAAAAGGAAAAGATCCTGTACAAGTGGAATATTGATGTTGTGTACGATGCAGTAGGGAATAATGCAAGATGTCCCAAAGTACTGCATTCAACACAGAATTGTCGTAGAAGTCGAATCGAGTTCTGTAAACAAGGGATTTTCCAAGGGAAAATTGTTGAACTCACTTTTGTGATTGAATCATCAATTCAAGCCAAACATTAATCAAATAGGAACAATTTCACTCAAAGTATACCTAGACACAGGAGAACTATTTTCGTGAAAGTGTTGTACAGTTGATTCCAAATTCAGATTGCAGAGAGTTTGTTCTGAGTGCTAAAGGCACTCACGATAGAGCACATTTTGCTTCATTCTAACAGAGGCAATCTCTTTCTCCATTGCCTCTCTCCATAGGTGATTTCCGTTTTTGTCATCAATAGCAAGCGCTTGTCTAAACGGTCCGCCAAATTGGAATGCCATACTTGACAGGAAGAGGTCGTCGGAGACGTCCAGGCTTCTTGGCACATCGATTCTGGCGGGGGGTGGACTTCTTGAAACGCTTGGTGTATTGAATCTGGTAGCTGTCGTCTTCTTTGGGACAGGAAAATACTTGGCCTTCCTTCATAGGCTTGGAATAACCGTAGTACTTTACAAATCGACGCATGACACGTCGAGTCTTTTTCATGAACGTTCGTGCCCAATGTTGGTGTGGTCCATTCTTGTGGTTACCGGAACAGGACCCAATCTTGTTGGCACAGATGTACTTGGCAGTCTCATAGGGGAAAATCTTCACGACAAGCGCGATAAGTTACCCAAGAGGTTTCATCAGTCTTCCAGAGAATTCGGAGAAACAGGACTCCCTTATGAAATTCATGCCCATTAACCAAATCAAAGAGGTCTTCATCATCCGAAATACCAGCTATGTTTTGGAGATGAACGTCAAGCGACTCCGGTGTCACATGGTGATCATCGAGGTCTCCATCGGCAGAATGAACCGAGTCATCACCAGCTGATTGAACCGAAGCATCATCATCTGATTCTGAGGCATGTTCACCTTGATCTGTCACTTGGGTGTGTTCCTCTTGTGTTACCGGCGCTGGACACTGAGCCGGTTTGCTCGGTCCATCAGTTGTTGCTTCGACAGTGGCAGCAGGCACAGCTGCTGCAATCTCTTGATCCCTTGGTGGCTGAATCGCAGGTTCTGCTTGTTCTCTCGGTAGTTTGGAAGCAGAGTTTGTCACGGTCTTAACAGAGAGAGGCTGGAGCTCCTCTAGATCAGTTCGTAACAAAGCATCATCGGACGTAGGGTCGGTACGAAGTCGTTTCGAAGGAGGTGTTCCATATACTTCTTCGATAGCTCTTTCATACTCCTCTACAGTGTCCAAGGGTTCGGGCTCCTCTTGGATGGTCAATAGTGGATTCGGCGCCCTTTCAGAAAGTCGAGGCGGAAAATCAGGATCAGCTATTCCCTCCAAGATGGTGCGTTCATCCTTCTTGTAAATTTCGAACTTTGTCTTCCCCTTTCGGACCACAACAGGTGCGGCCTCGCGAACATGCCGCGGGCGGATGACGGAGCGGGTAAAGATCCGACGTGGTTCTTTGTCAGAATCAGGATCAGTGACTATCACATATGTAAAATCATCACCAGAGTCAAGACTGAATCCCAGGAACCGCGCTTTCATCATCCTCTGCCTTGGAAACGCTCCTCTAGGAGTGTAAAACCATACAGGTTGCCAGAAAGAGAATCTGCATTTGCTTATATCTGGAACACCTCCAAATTGAAATTCCCAAGAGGTTCGGAAGCGTAGCAATCTCTTGGAAGTTCTTGCTTTCACGAAAGCAACGTATTCGACACAGTAACACCAATACTAAGGAGGAGCACCAGTAGTCAACAGAATGTGTTGGACCACATGTTTCAACCTTCCACCTCTTGGCTCAGCAAGGTTCTGATTCGGGTGGTGTGGTTCAGTGTACTTGGAGGACACTTGGTACTTTCAGAATTGGCGATGGAACTGCTTGGAATGGAATTCTTTTGCATTATCTGACTTCAAAGTGTGGGGGGTTCCACAGTGGTCAAAATGCGCCTCGAGTGTTTCCGGGGATTCACTCTTGCGCTGCATCAGAATGGGGTGGTTGTATCTGGACCTCTGACTTGAAAATAAATTGAAGTACAAAAATCCACAAACCGATTTGATGTTGGCCTTGAAGGTATCAAGAAAATCGACGTCCCGACGACGCCGATAACGCAGACATGTTAGTCTGGACTTCAAATGGTCTCTCATAATCTCACGACTTTCCGCCTCAACAGTGGGAACCAGTTGAGTGGTCGCGGCGAGAGTGTGCTTCATGACATCATCCGGAGGAAAAGCCATCGTTCGCTTCCAATCAATCTCCTCTGCTGGGAAGCGTCAAGATTTACTGCGGGCAGAAGGCTCATACTCCTCATCACTGGTGAATACAATTTCCGGCAAAGTTCTCATTTCTTCATCTGTGATGGCCTCCACGCTGTAATAACACTTGAATCCATCAAAGAATAACGGAAGTGTATGGCCACTAATCACACAACATTGAGTTCCATAGTCACCTCTTGGTGTTAGTGCATCAGATGGGCACTCATCCACAGCGTTACCAGCCGCGCGGGCTTGAGCTGGAGGGAGTAAAGATTCATGTTGGTGTGGGTTAGTGTCGTGGAGGACTTCATGGGCTTTACCACAATAGGTGTTGCCGTGTTCATCAATTATCTTAGCGGCAACTGATGACACTGGTAAGACAGTACCAATGTCTCGACGTGCAATAGGCCCTGTGAGTGCAATGTGTCTTCCAGTGATTCCAAGCCGCCTCCAAACATAGCCTGCCAAGAATTGGTCGGCGCCACTGTCGGTAATCAGGATGGATTCGGTGGGATAGAGCATGGGTGTTAGACGGCGGAGCGCCCGTTTTTGTTGTTGTTGGGCACTTCCGCGTCCCTGTCACCACTCTGTAATGGTAACGTGGGCTTAAGACGTTTTTCCGCGATGATCCGTCCGCAGTTTCTTGTAGTAGGACTGGATCAGCCATTGTTTTCCACTTTTGTTTGGCTGTGCGTCAGAAGGACCTTCGTCACCGTCTTCACCATCTTTAGTAGCTCCTCTACGATCTTTGCGTTTGACACCAATGTACTTTGGTCTCATACCAAACTCTCGATCGATTTTTCTGGGTTGCAAGTTGGTACCGTGGCATGTTCCACGCCAGGTCAACATTCTCTTGAAGAGACCATTCGGAAAACTCTTGTCCCAACCGATTGGAAACTGAGGAATGCGCCATTTTGGATACTCTTTCGAATAATCCTTATCAAATTTGACACCGGTCCTCTTCTTGTAGCTCTTGTCCGTTGCTCCACGGCGAGCCACCACAGCACCGTCGTTTAGGACAGGGGAGTCCTCGTCAATGAGAGCTTGTGTTTTACTGTGGGAGCGTAATTGTTCAAGATACTCGTCAATGGAAGCTAACGGGGTACTTCACAATGTACCGTCTCATGTCACTGTTCCTAGCAAGACTGTTGATTTTTTTGGTGAAAATCCTGAGGAAACTGACAATACAGTTGATGAAAATGTTGCCGCGGCACTTCCTCCTGTGGTGCATGACAAATTCACCAAACCGGAGGCGTTGCTCATCACAAAGATTGTCTTTAACAAGGAGAATCCGACCAAACCGATGTTTGACGCGCTTCAGACTTTCTTTGACCACATTGGTGTTGAGAAACCGTCTGATCTTGAAGGACAGGATGTGGATGACTTACTCAGTCATGGAGAGGATGCCCTCCCGGATGGCGGCCCAATTCGCGGTGTCATCACTGGGCGCCTCAAGAAGTTTCTCCTCTACGCATCTGCCCCTTCAGTGGTCATCAATCCCAGTCTTACCTACCAAAAGATTGTGCAATTTTCGATTGACCAAGCAAAACAAAATATGCATACTACTCCTATTGATTTGACAAAAGCGATTGGCAAACGTCAAGGCATGAAGTTTTGCTGTCCAGAGGTCGAACCATTCAGTGGCGAATCTACTGTATATTGGCCTTGGACATCTAAGGTTGCTTTGGAATTTGGACAATCCGGTATAGAACTTGCTCTAACGGATGCAAAGTTCCACGAACAATCTACTTGGCACAAGGATGCATCAAGTCAGGGTTTCTACGCAATCGCAAAAGCTCTGAATGATGGTACCGCTAGCCATATTGCCGATGAAGTGAAAGAAAAGAGGGGACAAACTGTGGCCTACGATCTTTACCAACAATTACTGGAGACCTACAACTCTCCGGAGGATCAGGCCCATTTTGTAATGTATGCAATTGACGAGTTGACTTCCATCAAGTTGACTCACAAAGTTACAGTTCCTGATTTTATTTCCAATTGGAAGTCTATTACTACAAGATTGCGGAAAAGTAATCAATCCCTGGCAACAAGCCGTGAGCTTCTCCGTGCTTTCCTCCTCCAGGCAATTGTCTCTGATACATGGGGCAAAGTGAGAGGACCAGCAGTATCACCAGACCAGAACATTAGAGTCTGTAATAGTGGCCAGATTTGCTGATGGCCCCAATGCTTGCTGAGAATATCAGCGGGGTTGAGAACACCGTCAATGTGGATAAGAGATAGCATGTTACATGCTACTGCTTCTCTGATGCGGTAGAACGACAATGCAACATGCCCCTTGTGTAGCTTTGCTTCAGGTCGGGAAGAACTGTTCACAACACATTCATTGTCACCGAACATGTGGCTTTGACCTTTGATTGGCACACCAAGGTACCTCAAGGTCTGTTGAAGATTCATGATCTGTTTGACACAGGTTTGAGTGGCTACAAACTCATAACCATAAGTAGCAGTCTCAACAGTTGACTGCTCCTTAGAGAAGAAATCGATTGGTGTTCCATTCAACATATGATGGATTATACCCACAACCGATTGGTCTGTCAATAGACAGCTGGGTTTTGTTTTGTTTGGCAGTACGTAGGCAAGGTCACCAAAAGGTAGGATCCTGGGCTTGTGTTTGTCACAATGTTTAAGGGCATTGGCAAGTTGGACTCCAAACTTTTGGTGATCTTTTGGCATTGGGGTTCCTCTCCCCATATCCACAAGGACCTTGTACGTTGCAAGCAGATCCATCTCAACTTTGGTGGCATGCTTCCAGTTGGTGTTGCCATGGAGTTTGTCAAGTCGAAGGACGCCATTGTGATCCTTCTGAATCTTGTAGTTGTACATATACTTTGGTGTAGCAATATGTAGCAATCTCAGCTTGACTTGATTGGTTGGACAAAGGAATTTCCTCTTGTCCTTCACTATATTTCTAAGAAGTTTACAACCTTGATTTTCTGGTAGGTTATGATTTCTTGATTATATAGTGTAGGTCACTGATTCATTGGCTCCAGTGATGTTCAGTGGTTCTGGGGTATTCTCCCCATGTTTCCATCCAATGGTCATACTGTAAGTCAGACCCAGGTAATAAGAAGGCTGTTCAAGTCAAATGTAGTGATGGTGGCATACAACTTGCTTCAGCTTTGTATCTATGGGGTTGTCCTTGTCAGTTTCTGACCACTTGTGGATCTCATGGTAAGCCATAACATGTTCATATTCGCCTTTATCAATGTTCAAGCATAGTTGAATGCGTGCAGGCTGAATGTCTGTGTTGCGATTGTGCTTGTAATTAAGCTCAACAATCTTAGCACGTTGAACATAACCTTCATCATCTGGTGAGAGAAGGAAAGTCCGTCCAATGAGATCCTTTTCTTCTAAAAGAACGTCTTCTATATCTGATTCATCATCACTAGAATGAACAATGGTCTTGAGGGACTTATGGTCTCTAGATTTGATTTTTGTAGGGGGTGTCAACTCCTCCCCATCAGATAGATCAATTGAGTTGGTTATTGTAGGGAGCGCTAACTCCTCCCCATCAGGTAGAACAAGACGTTTGTGTAGTCCGGTAGGTGGTAGAGCAGAGCAGATGTCGGAAGGTAACAAGACGTTGTTTGTTTCGAGAAACAGAAATATGTTGGTCATGTTGTGACAATCATGCTTGGCGATGCCTACCAAGACGACCATGCAACTGATCGGCTCTGGAAGTGGAGACAGAGGATGATATTTGTGTTCATGGTGGTCGTTTGTGGGAGATCTAGCTAGATAAGTAGTAGTACAGTGAAAAGAATGCTTAGGTAACCACAAAAAATATCGACGTAGTTGCTCCCAGTTGCGTTCACAAGACTTCACTGCTGAGCTTGGGTTCTTGTACACCATAGTATCAGCTAGTGGCAAAGTCTTGTGCTCTTGCTTGTTTCTTCGTGGAGGTCCAGTGCCTGGTTGCTCCCCATTGCCGGGCCGATTACCATGACCAAAACGAACCTTGCGACTTGTGTTGCATTGAGGTTTGGAAGGTACGTCAATAGTGAACGTGTCCTTTGGTTTTGGGGGTCTAGTTGGCAAATCGTGTGTCAACTCTTGAGAAGATTCGTTGGTGAACAATGGTCCCACCTCAACATCAAACTTGATAGAGGCATCAGTAACAAGTAGAAGACTTGGGTGCCTGCATGATTTATTGACTTCAAGCATGACAAAGATGGGAGGATCAATGTAGTATGGATCTGGACAGGATGACTCTACCATGTTGCGGTCAAAATAGTCCGGTCCAGTATCTGGACAATCTGTTCCAGTATCTGTACGTTCAGAATCCTTGTACGGTTCATCAAATGGTGATGCATACTGAAAAGTTTCAAAGAAGTGTATGGCTTCATCAAAAATAGAATCCTTTGAGGTTGTTTTAGTTTTATTTCTCTTGAGGATATCTACTTGATCGAAACGGCTCTTAGCTCCTTCCAATCCATCGCCAGTAATACAGTCGGTCCATTTGTCAAAGTCGTCCACTTTGGGATCTAGATCTTCCAATCCATCGTCATGTCTGGTATCGAATTCATCCACCCTGGAATCTAGAACACCAGGATCCCAATTCTTGTCAGAGGTTAAGACAATGTGTGGTAGGGTTTTGATGGACACATCCGTTAGTTGATGATCATCTATGGCTCGAACCTCTACAGAACGATTTGTTTGAGACAAGATGATCACATCATCACCAGCAATTTCACCGTTTGCTCCTCCAGGTTTGAGGGATTGACGTTCAGTCACATGCGCTAAGATGCTGTCTCTGGCGTTATCAACCACTTCAGGAGGAAGAGCACCAGAAGCACTCCCCATGCTTGCATCCTGGAAGTGGTCGAGGAGTGCAGCAGCCGAGATGTCATGAAGATTGACCAAACAGCGTGGTGGCAGAGGTGGGGGTGGTGGTGGTGGCGGTTGTGCGGGATCGGAAGATGCTCCAAGAATAACAGCCTTTGGCTGTTGCCAATGGCAATCAGCCTCATCATCCAATTGACTCCATTGGGCCTGTGGAAGGCTGGGGCGGTGGCCAGGAGTGAAGGATGATCTGTAAGCTTGGTACTCCCCAATATCAGTATCAATGTTAAATTCGATATTGAGGTTGTCATCGTCTAAGCCGGAAGCAACACCAGTAAAGCAGACATCTCTACTAGGATTATTTTTAGGGTTAGGCTTGGAGACTTGCCGAGTGTCGTAACTTTGGGCTGCAGATTCCACCAGTGTGACATAGTCGTCAAAAATGATTGCCATACCCGTTTGCGTCTCAAGAATCCTAGAGAGTCTCTGAATCTCATCAAGATAAGGGACAGCAATAAGGGCTTGTTCGAGTAGCAGGTGTTGCTGGGTTTCTGGCATCCTTTGACTAATGTCTGCCAAGGTGTGGTATTTGCGTACTTGTTCTTGCCAATGGATGATGAATGATTCATGTGTGTTGCGCCATGAATCATCAAGCCTAGCGGTCATAATCCATCGTAGAAGTCCAGTAGCGGTGGCATCCGCTTTAACAGACTTAGTGTAGGCTTTAGCAAGTTGATCCTAAATTTTCTGCGCATCAAAGGTTGCTTGATGCTCACGAACAAATTGCTTGCCTATATTGGTGAGGAGAGTTGTAGTAAAGACTTGATACATGAACGCCTGCTGACAGTCAAAGAGGTCCTTTTCATCAACAGTTTGGGGGGCGGTACATGTGATTAAGAACATTTTGTAGACCGTAAGTGCGACAGATGGCTGCGAGATTGCGATTGTAGTTTTCCCATTGCTTGTCATTGCTGAAAGTAGGGAAAGACAACGGGTCTCGTCTGATGCTTCTATCGAATTCATCAGCAGGGGTACGACGACTTGGTTTCTGGATGGTAGGTGATGGAATAGTTCTATTACCAAAAGTTAAGAACTCTCCAGAAGCTCTATAGTCGAGTACACTACCATAGTCAATATCCATGCAGTTGTCAGGGTTGACAGGATCGTTATGGACATGTTTGCGGTAGTAAACGTATCCTTGGATGACCTTGATGAGACTGCGGATGGACAGTGGTACCAGGGCAAGTTGATCATCTTGGAAGTCGCCTTCATCATTAGGTGTTTGACTTCTTGGATAAACAAGAGAGTCAATCGCCACATCGGTCATAGCCATGAGGTCAATGAAGCAGGTAATTTTAGCATGCTTCAATGCTTGAGCAAGAATACCATCTGGAGGGAGATTGAGAAAATAATAATAACTGAAACATTAATCGATTAAATGCTAGGTAGCGCATACGATTGCCGGTGGAATGGTCGGCTGTAAAGGTCAAGTACTGTGGAGCGGCGAGTCAACGACAAGTTTGAACCATGTGAGGCGTCTGAAAAATCAGAAGTTGCTCTAGTCAGAACCAGATGGTTCGGACTCTACCCGCAGCGTGGCGGGGTGATTTCGGGGCGTTGCTTCCACGAAACGTTGTTCAA